GAGGGCTGTGGGGACCATGGACTCGGGGAACATCTAACTCAACTGGCATAACATAGTTTATAAAGAAAATGTTCTACATTCTACTTGGGTGAGTAGCATCTGGGGTCTTAAAAGCTTGTGAGCGGCCATCTAAGATACTCCACTGGTCTCACCCTGTCTGGAGCAACGGAGAATGAAGAAAAACATAGACACAAGGGAAAGATTAGTCCAAAGGACTAATGGACCTCAACTACCACAGGCTCCACCAGACTGAGTCCAGCATAACTAGATGGTGCCCAGCTACCACCACTGACTACTCTGACAGGGATCACAATAGAGGGTCCCAGACGGAGATGGATAAAAATGTAGAACTAAATTCTAACTCACATAAAAAAATAAATGAATAAAGGCCAGACTTACTGGTCTGACAGCGACTAGAGAAACCCTGAGAGTATGGCCCCTGGACACCCTTTTAGCTCAGTAATGAAGTTGCTCCTGAGGTTCACCCTTCAGCCAAAGATCAGACAGGCCCATAAAACAAAACGAGACTAAATGGGCACACGAGCCTAGGGGCAAGGACTAGAAGGTAGGAGGGGACAGGAAAGCTGGTAATGGGGAATCCAAGGTCGAGAAGGGGAGAATGCTGACATGTCATGGGGTTGCCAACCAATGTCACAAAACAATATGTGTATTAATGAGAACCTAGTTTGCTCTGTAAACCTTCATCTACAATACAATTTAAACAAATGTCTTCAGAATATGCAGGATCACCTTTTTTATTGTTACTTTGTCTAATTAGACTAGTTCTTTATTATTTTTTTTACAGATCATATTCTGTTTGCAGCTAGCATAGGACTTTTCTAGTTCATTAATCTTGAGTTTTGGTGTTTTATAACCAGCTCATCCACAGTTCTACTTCATTCCCTGTGTATGAACATACCCCGTGTATGAATTACTCTAGGAGTTTGTTGAGGCAATTATAAGTAGCACTTTTAAAAAATATTAGCCATCATTTATTGAAGGTCCCTGGATGGTGCAAACAGTTAAGTGCTCAACTGCTAGCCAAAAAGTTGGCGATTTTAATCCACCCAGAGGCACCCTGGAAGATAGGCCTTGAGATCTGCTTCTAAAAGGTCACAGCCTTGAAAACCCTATGGAGCAGTTCTACTCTGCACACATGGCGCCACCATGAGTTGGAATGAACTCAATGGCAACTAACAATAACATTTGTTGAGCACTTACTGTGCAGTGGGCTTTGTGCTAAGAGCTTTTTTTTTTAAGTAGCATTTTTTAAAGAATAATTCTGGGAAATACGTATATAACAATACATGCAATTTCAGAAACCCTTAAAAGACCAGATGGATGTATTTGCCTAATGGCTCTAGATAATAAATTAATTTTGCAATGTAACATATTTTCATGTTTAGAGAAATTCTATTTTATTTTATATTTAACATTTTACATTTCACATCTTATTCTGAAGATGTGAATGCACTGGTTTTGATCTACGTTCTTAAGATTTACAATGGCTACTCATTAAATAATATTTGAATGCCTATTATGTGTCAATTAAGTCCCTGGGTGGCGCAAATGGTTTGAGCTGGGCTACTAACCAAAAGTTTGGCAGTTCAAACCCACCCAGTGGCACAATGGAAGAAAGGCCTGGCAATCTGCTTCCGTAAAGATTACAACCATGAAAACCCTATGGAGTGGGATGAGTAGTGTCTGGGGTCTTAAAGGCTTGTAAGCAGCCATCTAAGATACAACTATTGGTTTCTACTCATCAGGAGCAAAAGAGAAAGAAGGAAACCAAACTCTTACAGAAGAAACTAGCTTTTAGGGCTACTAGCCTACACAAGCCACAGCCTCATCTACCCTGAGACCAGAAGACCTAGTTGATACCCTGCTACCACTACCAGCCATTCTGATCAGGGCCCTGATGGAATGGAGGAAAAACACAGAACAGAACTCAAATTCTTAAAAGTCTAGATTTACTAGACTAGTTCAGACTAGAGAACTCCCTGAGACTATCACTCTGAGATACTCTTTAAACCTTGAACCAAAAACTATGCCAAGTTCTCCTTTTAGTGAAATAACGGATTGGCACACAAACTAAAAGATATTAACCGCGAATACGGTGCTTCATTAAAAAACCATCTACATGAGACCAAAAGGTCAACAATCACTCTAAAGCAAAGATGAAAAGGGAGGCAGGGAAACTACAGTACTGGAAACGGAACAATCAGAATGCAATTAAAGAGAATGTTGACACATTGTGAAAAATATAACTAATGTAAGTGAACAATTTGTGTAGAAATTGTCAAATGGGAACCTAATTTGCGGTGTAAACTTTCACTGGAAACACAAAAAAATATGATTTTTAAAAAAAACCTTACAGACCACAGTTCTACTCTGAAGCACATGGGTCACAATAAGTTGGGATTAACTCGATGGCAATGGGTTATGTGCCAGTTACAAAAATAAGACATTTTTTTGCCCTTAAGAAATTAAGACTCAAGTGTAAGAGCAAGCCAAGTAAAAATACAACTCTAAGACATCTTTTCAAGATTCTAAGATGTCCACTTAAGATGTTTGCTATTGGGCCCTTAACAGGAACTCTCCTGATGATTCTAACTGGCCATGGTTGAGAACCACTGGCCTAAATGAAGACTGAACATTCCATCTATTCCCTCTAAGGCAATCAATTCAAAACAAATAACAAAGGTCCCTTTTCTGGCCAAAAGCAAACAAAACGAACAACAACAACAACAAAAAAACAGGTTTGTCACTTCACCCCCCCGCTAGGATGGCTACTATCAGGAAAACAAAAAATAACAAGTGTTGGTGAGAATGTGGAGAAATTGAAACCCTCATGCTTCTTTGCTGGTGGGAATGTAAAATGGTGCAGCTGCTGTGGAAAACAGTTTGGCAGTTCCTCAAAAACCTAAACATGAAATTATCATACTCTTGCTGTTGAGTGGATTCCAACACAGCAACCCCATGTGTTACAGAGTAGAACTGAGTTTTTATTAAGCTTGCAGTCAATATAAAAAAATCAATTCTATTTCTGTGTACTACCCATATAAAAATAAATAATAAAAAATTTAAAAGATTTCAATAGCATCAAAACTATCAAATACTGAAGAATAAATCAAACAAAAGATTATGTTGGTGTAAAATCTCCCTGTAGATCACTATAAAACATTACTGAGAAATTAAAGATCTAAAAAAGGAGTGATATTTAGAGACTCAGTAATGTAAAGAAGTTAATTCTCCTAAAATTGATCTAACAATTCAGTGAAGTTTCGATCACTATCTTCACAAGATTCTTTTTGAGGAATTTAACAAGCTGATGCTAAAATTTACATGAAAATGGAAAGAGTAAAAAATTAACTAAGACATTCTTGAAGAAAAACAATATAAAAAGACTTATTACATATTGACTTATTATAAAACTATTGTAATTAAGATAGTGAGGTATTGGTGCAAAGAATGACAACTAAACCCATATCTGTTTGCCACTGAGTTGATTCTGACTCACGGTGACCCCACATGTTACAGAGTAGAACTGCCTTGTAGGGTTTTCTTGGCTGACATTTTTATGGAAGCAGATCACCAGGCCTTTCTTTCTCGGTGCCACTGGGTAGGTTTGAACTGCCAACCTTTAGGATAGCAGCCGATCACAAACTGCTTGTGCCATCCAGGAACCTCAATGACATCTAGGCCAACAGAATATAATAGAGACCAGAAACCAACTTCTGCATTCATAGACACTTGATTTACAATGTCACTGAAGAGCAATAGAGAAAGTACAGTCCATCTAATAACTAACGCTGGGGCAACTGGATAGCCTTATAGAAAAACTGAAACTTGGTCTCTGTCTCACATCATATATAACAGAAATTCCAGATTTATATACAAAACATAAAAAATGAAGGTTTGGGAGGTAATATATACGTGATATGGAGTCCTGGTGGTGCAGCGGTTAAGAGCTCGGCTGCTAACCAAAAGGTCGGCAGTTGAAATCCACCAGCCGATCCTTGGAAACCCTATGGGGCAGTTCTACTCTGTCCTATAGGGTCGCTATGAGTCGGAATCGACTAGATGGCAATGGGTTGGTATACACGAAATATACAAATATAAATATATATATATACCTAAATAGATATCTAGATATATGTAAATATCTATCTATACATATATCTACCAGAGCCCTCTTTGCACAGTAGTTAAGCACTTGGCTGCTAACTGAAAGATCAGCAGTTTGAATCCATCAGCCGTTCACAGGAGAAACGTGGCAGTCTTGGGTCACTATGAGTTGGAACTGACATGATGGCAGTGGGTCCGTTTTTCAGTTTTATATATCTACCTATGTAACTATCTATATTTCCCATATTTTACATTGTCATGTTTAACAGGAGACAAAAAATAAAAAACCATTGATAAATTTAACCACAATAAAATTAAGACCCTTACCTCCCTATGTTCACCAACCGTATTCAAAAACTTTACCCAATCCCTACAAGTTCCCCACTTTGAAACATTCACCTTAAACCAACTGAGCCCTTATCCCAAAGCTCTATTAATAGTCTAATATGACCCGTTTGAGTCATCACTAAGTCTGTCAAGCTGGTGTTCATCCTTGCTGTAGTTAAGTTTTAATAAGATTGGTTTGTTTGATCAATTTCCCTAATGATCTTTGTAGGGCAGTTGACAATTGACAGCCCTTATCTTTTAGAGATACTCTAGTATTTATAGATGAAATTATATAACTATGAGGTCTGACTCAAAATTATATAGAAAGAAGGATAGTAGGTAGTACATAAGATTGGTTATAAATTGTTAGAACTCAATAATAGCACATGGGAGTATATTATACTTTTCTACCTTTATATATTTTTAAAATTCTCTATAATAATAAAAATATTTTTCTTGTCCTACTACTCAAGAAGGAAAGTTCATTAAGGTAACAACTAGTTGTAGCTGCTGTCAAATTGATTCTGACTCTTGGTAACCCCATGTGCATCAGAGCAGAACTGTGCTCCATAATGTGTTCTTTTTTAAAAAATAGTATTTTATTGTGATTTCAGTGATGGTTTCACAGGGTGTTGAATAGCTGATTTTTTGGAAGCAGATCACCAGTCTTTCCTTCATAGGTGCCTGTGAGTGGACTTGAAATTTCAACCTGTCAGTTAGTAGCTGAGCATGGTAACTGTTTGTTCCACCCAGGGACTCAACAACAAAGAAAGCTATGTGACCATGACTACCAAGCTTTTATCCAGAAAGCAGCTAGTCAAACAGAACCTAAGTTATGGTGAATTTTGCAGTTCTGCCACTGATGGAAGGCAGGCAAGAACACAGTGGCTGTAGATTTGAGAGAAATAATTCTTTTTAGATCCTCCTACATATCCCTAGCATAGAACTAAGAGTAGATATAATTAACTTAAAGTTGATATTTATAGCTTTGTTAAAACAATAAAAGGGGATAGAGAATATTTTCTGAATATTTTATTCGGAGTGAGACTGTGTTACAGCAAGCTAAATTCTTAGTTGTGCTTAGAATATGCTCCCTCCTACAGTCTATTCCAAAAAAATGAAACTTCTTATTCTTTCTTAGAATCCTGGACTCTGAAATTGGCCATTATTAGGATCCCATACACACTCAAGGTGACGTGTGATTTGAGGTTTTGAATAGCTATCCATGTAAGTTGACTTTTCTGTGTATTTGTATCGAGGAGGATCCAGTTCAGGTTGATGTCCTGGGAACCAGTGAGGCTCTTGCTTAAATCCTGACGGAAGAGAAAAGAGAAGGAAAGACAAGTGGACTCAGTCAACAACAAGTTTTAGTAACAGATCTCACTCTTATTTCTGAGGGAACAGACAGTGACTATTGCCAAAACTGAAAAAGAGAGAAATTTCACATTCATTCATTCATTCAATTGTTCATTCTTTCAGTATACTTTTAATTGAGTTCCTTCTACGTTCCAGGCACTGAGTTAGGTCCTGAGAATATAAAAATTAAAACAACAGTCCACCTACTATGGGTTGAAAGTGGCATTTTGTCGTTATAGCTTGTATCATACGTTGTTTCAAAATAGTGTCCAAACTGGAAAGAAAAATCAATAGATTAAGCATCTAGGCATCTATTGCTAATATCAGGACATAAAGGACACAATGACATGAATTTTAATGGACTCTGTCCTATCTTAGATGGACTAGATGTCCACATGTCATTAATCTCTATCTTTTGTATGTCTGTTAGGTTAGGAGAGATTTAAGGGCCTAGGTAGGCAAAGATCAGGGGAGAAGCTATCCTGAGTTAGAAGTCATTAGATATTTCTGTAGATAAACAGATGAAGTCCAAACAGAAGCAAGAGAAAGAGTACTACCCATCCTTTCGATACTTTCAGATAATACAATGTTCATCTTGGTAGTAAAGTGGGGTAGGTGTTCCAGCTAAGGACTGCTCCCCCTCCCCCAACCATTTCACTGAGCAGAGACCTTAGAGATTTCAGTGTTGGAAGTTATCAGATTCCTGCCTCTAAACTGGCATGTGTCATTTCTTTTGCTAAGAGATGAAATAACCAAAAAAAAAAAAGAAAGAAAAGAGAGAGAGAGAAAGTTAAATTACCTGAGAAGGCAAGGGTTTTGGCTGTACAATATTTTTTAGGTCGTATCTTTCCTGGTTCCAGTTGCCCATCAGGGTACGGTTTGAATAGGAATTCTCATTAGTGGTGCATCTCCACCCATACTGGAAAAACTTGGACATATCGTTCCAATCTGTCCACACCTCAGCATGGCCATCTGCATTAATGAGGCTGCCATAGTGTGAGTTTTCAAGGAAACAGACAAGGGCTTGTCTCTGAGAAAAGGCAAGAATAGAAAAGCTCATTGAACATACAAGAGAGCAGAAAAGGCATTCCTTTCCCACCCTCTGCTCTACATGGCCAGGTAGGACATAAACACACTTTACTAAGGGTCAAGGCTTTCCTTGAAAGTTAATTGTTGTCGTTCTGTTTCTTTCTCTCCAGATCCATGAACACTTTAACCTATTCTCTCAATCAGCAGTAGCAGACAGCTGAATAGATAAAATGGTCCCACCAAGAAGACATAAGAAAGCCTTTTGTAACTCCAGTACTATATGGAGAACTAGCTAAATGTCCAGGTAATTTTGATGTAAGGATTTAGGGACAAAAGGTATTGCTATAGTCAAAGACAATAAGGGGAAGTGAAAGTTGAATAACTACACAACACAGTAAATGATCAACAAATCTTTCCTTCTAGACCCAGCTCAAATACCACTTCTTCTACATTTTCTCTCAACTTCTCTCTCCTTTTATCTCACACAGAACTTTATTTTTCTATCATTTACTGTATTTATAACTTTCTGCCTTATGCTAGAGAACTTCAAGTACATGTATTATCTCTACTCAACTGTATGCCCCCTAAGTGTCTTACTCCCTGTTGCAACCTCTCCCTCTGCCTGCCCTCCCACCAAATAGTGCTTTGCACATACCAGATGATCAATGTCTGAATTTCAGGGTTTTTTTCTGGTAAGTGATCAAAAGCCTAACCATTGCCCCATCCCTCAAAATGAGGCTGGTTCCCTTGCTTAGGAGCAAGGTAATACCTTCCCTGAAGACTGATATGATGTTGAATAGCTTGTGCTACTTGCAGGTTTCTTAGGAGAGTGACAGAAATCCTTTTTCAGCTGTTCCATGTTCTTTAAGAGATGTCACCAAACCTGGCCTTTCCAGTTCTTCACGCAAAGAAAGAATGTAGATAACCCAGAATCCCTGTAGCCACGATTTGGGAGCCACAACCCATGAGTCTTTCCACAGGAAGGGACAAAGCCAATACTGTAGCTTTAAAGGACAGCATCCCTGGTAACTGCCCTGATACCACCTGCCTTTGTGAAGACAAATGTGCTGATGTCACCAAACAGCATGATGACTAAAGAAGAGCTGTCCCACAAAGTGCAAAAGTACTAAGACTGCAAACCTAGGTCACACAGCCCTGGGGCCATAAGGACAGATATCACCATCTACTCAGTTATCCAAACCAGAAACCTGGGGCTTATTTTTGGCTCTGACTTCTCTCAGCCCTCTATATCCATCCAATCACTCTGATCGATTTTTAAATCAGTTCACTACGCTCCATCCCCACTACCAAGTTCCCCATGCAGATCACAACTGGCCCATGCCTGATTAGCGCAGCAGCCTCATATCTGATCTCTTTGCCATCCGCCTTGTCCCACTCCAGTCCTTTCTCCATAGAAAACTCGAACTTTTGAAAATGAAATCTAATTGTCATCCTCCTATTTAAAATCTTTCAGTGGCTGTCGACTGTTCTTAGAATAAGGTCCAACACCCAAAAACCGATTGCTGTTGACTCCAACTCATAGCGACTGAGGCTCTTATAATGGCTTACCTGGCCACTGCTTAATTCTTCAGTCTCATCTGTTTCCCACTCTCTCATTAACTATGTTTCAGTCAAACTGAATTTTTCTGTCCTTTCGTCATGCTTTTGCACACATTGTTCCTTCTGCCTCTTCACTCCTCTTGACCCAGGTAAGGTGTAATTCTCTCCCTTAGCTTTCAACTCAGGTTCACTTCATCCAAGTTATCTTTCCACTTCATCACAAAACTTGTTAAGGTTCTCCTTCCACGTGCTCCCATAGCACCCTGAATTACTCCACTTACAGAACTCTCATCCCACTGTATCAGAATTGCTTTTTTTTGCTGTGTGCATTCTCCACCAGACCGCAGACTCTGTGAAATTACAGGCCAAATCTTGTTCATCCAGGATCTTCACAGTGGCCTCATATTTCCCCAACGGCCCTCACAAAGGCCTAGCACATAAAAAAGCTCTCATTATTTCTTGAATGAATAAAACGTAGAGAGAGAAGCACCTGGGGAAATTGCGGACAGCATACACAGTAGGAGAAATCCATTTCGGACGAGATGAAAGCAGTTACAAAACCCTCTGTGACAGGAACAAGCAGGACACAGGCCAACCTCTCCTTTGTCTCTGCCCGCCCCGATTCGCTCACACGCAGAGCTCGCCTCCCCCTCGGCTTGCCCCTCTGTTCTAGTGATGCTTGTGACCTCATGCAGATGTGACGAAGTCGTACAGGACCGTCCATGTGCTAAAATGCATTTTGATTTTCTCGAGAGGTTAGGAAGTGAGGGCACAGAGTGGTGGAAGGCTCTCTTTTGGTGTCATGGTTACTGTTATTCCTGGGAGTCGCCGCACCAGTTCCTCAAGGGAATCAGGTGCTTTCGGTGCGTAATCAACCAGTGACGAGGCAAGACGGAAGGTCAGAGGTCCACGAAGGACGTGACGTAAGAAACAAGCGCCACCGAGAACGCTAGTAGGGAGGAAGTTGAAGTCATGGCCCCTCGACGCCTCCTGTTGGTTGGGGAAGGGAATTTCTCCTTCGCCGCCGCTCAGAGCGAGACCCTGGATCCGAGCACTACTAGTATTATTGCCACCTGCCTCCAGCACCCGGCCGACCTGGCCCGGGATCCGTTGGCCGGGGAGAATCTGCAGCGCCTGCGCGAGCGAGGTATCGAGGGCAGCCCGTTCACGAAGCCTCACTCAGCTGCCGGTCAAATTTCAAATTGAGAAGGGTGGGGACGTGAAAATGTGAGGAACGTGGGGATTGCTTTTGGTCATGCTATTTACGGAAAGCCTTCTGTGTGCCTAGACCTGGGCTGTTTTGCATGGTTGTTGTTAGGGAGTGTTTTTTCTCTGGTTCCATGTCTGGTCTTACGACATCCTGCCGTCTGTATTTCGCACCTCCAAACTATCCTTGCCAGGTACAGAGGTACGTTTTGGTGTAGACTGCACCCAGCTGGCAGATGCCTTTGAACTGCACGACAGGGAATTTGATCGAATTTATTTCAATTTCCCGCACTGTGGACGCAAAGCTGGAGTGGCTAAGAACAGGGAACTACTTGCCAAGTTTTTCCAAAGGTGAGGAAAAGGAGAGCTTTCGCAAGTAAAATGTATATAAGATGCATATAACATTGTTACTGCAGTCAAACATTTTAATTGGGGAAATAAGGCAGACATGTTTAAGTTATTATGATAGGTTTAGAGAGAACAGAAAGCCCGAAAGGAACGCACAATCAAGTTGGAAAGGCAGACATATAATCCTAGCTGCTAAATAAAAATACAAATAGTGTGCTCTTAAGCATGTAAAGGAAGGATCACTTATTTCTGATAATGCACAATAATGAGAGCCAGTATAGTGTAATGACAAAGAGCATGGACTATTCTTAGTCATGGAGCCAAACTGCCTGGATTTGAATCTCATCCCCACCAGTTACTAGTTGTGTGATTTTAAGCCAGTTCATCCTTCCATGCTTCTGTTTCCTCATCTGTAAAGTGGGGATATTAATAGTAACTACCTTCTGAAATTATTGTAGACTTTAAACAGTTCATTAGACTATCTTATATCAAAATACGTGATACTGTTGGAAGTCTCTGTGGATTATAGTTGTCAAGAAACTTTTCACAGAGGCAGTAGTTTAAACTAGTATTTGAAGTATAAAATTTTAATAGGAGGGGACTGAAAAGAAGAACTTTCTAAATGGGGAGGAACAGTGTAAGCAGTGAATCATGTATAGGACCTTTGCAGACACTGACCTTTCTATGATGCATAGATGAACGAAACGAATACAAAGCTGGACAACCCTCTGTGTTAGCCACTAGTATTGATTAGCGGTTTGAACATTGAATTTACATTCTTCTTTACTTCCAGCCACTTTCTTTGCATGTTTGAAATCTAATAACCCGTAGCCGTAGAGTTGATTCCGACTCATAGCAACCCTATAGGACAGAGCAGAACTGCCTCATAGGGTTGCCAAGGAGTGGCTGGTGGATCTGAACTGTCGACCTTTTGGTTAGCAGCCAAACACTTAACCAGTGCACCACCAGAGCTCAGCCACTAACTGAAAGGTTGGCAATTCAAATTCACCAGCTGCTCATTGGAAACCCTATGGGGCAGTTCTACTCAGTCCTATAGGGTCATTATGAGTCAGAATTGACTCAACAGCAATGAGTTTAAAATCTAATAGAGTTTTGCAAATAATGTATAATTGGATTTTAATTATTTGACGTCCAGTCTTTGCAGCCAAACCGTGTATATGTTCCTAACTCCTGTATAATTTCTACTTGCTTTTGATAAATGGCTGGTGTTTTTTTCCCCTCATTAGTTGTGCAGATGTTCTTGCAGAGGCAGGAGAAGTGCATGTGGCCCTGTGTAGAGGACAAGGTGGGACTCCTGCTGACAAGCCCAGGAGAGAATGGCACAACAGTTGGCAAGTGGTTGCCATGGCAGCTCTGGGAGGGCTCATTTTAAGTGATGTGCATCCCTTCAGCTGTGAGGCTGTGCCAGGGTACAAGTGCACTGGATATAGGTAAGTAATAGCATAGCGCTAAGCCTTCTTCTCTTTCATCTCTCTCACTGATGATTAAAAAAAATTTTTTTTTCATCTGCTCAAAAGCAGACTTTTCTTCTGCTAATTTCCTGATTCATTCTCTAGACTTACTTGCTTTCTCCAATAATGAGAGATTTTATATTTGGTGTCTGTTTTACCAGGAGTCAAGATAAAACTTTTCATGTCGAAGGTGCTTTGAACCATATCTTCACTCGGAGCTTACCCTTTGAATGTTTTCAACCCAGAATCTTTAGAATCAGACTGGGTGACCAGTGGTTTTCTTTTCCCGAACCAGAAGCACTTACAGGAAAGTTGAACAGGTAACCTGTTATTTTACTGGAAATGGCATCCGTATCAAGCTGTATCCTGATTGGATTGATGGCAGCCATGTAGTGAATGGATGCTATATAAATTGTTGATGTTGGTGCTGTGAATGCTTGTCAGCCTGGTCTTCTCAAGCCTCTTTAGAATTAAAAACTGCCTTATTTTTTAGTGTATTTTCTGGATGGTGGCTGTCAGAATTCTAAAACACATGACATCTCTGATAATGGTAGATGATTTCTTTGTTTCCTTCCAGGATCAACCTAGGGATGATTCCTTTCTTTATAGTTATTTGTGTTTTTAATTTTAGCTATGTCATAGTTATTTATTATTTTGTTATAAAAGTTATTTTTTCCTGTGTGTTTAAACAGGGGTTTCCTGGAAGCACCTTCATGTCATCCTATCAGAACTATAAATGAGAAACTCATTGCTGAATTGGGCAAAGCTTTCTCTCTAAAAAGGCTGAAGTGTCCCTTCCCTTTGCTGTCACAAGGAGACACCAGTGTTCTCACTTCCTGGAACTATGACATTGTATCAGCTGCCTTTTGGATTAGTCTCCTTGAGGACAACTCAAATTCCGAGTCCCTGACGGATGGGACAACACAAGATATGGAGGAGTTTCTACTGTCATTTTCAGAACTTAGCCTTCCCGGTGATCCTGAAAGAGATGATAAGGAAGAAGCTCATGAAGGAATCTATGGCCAGGCCAAGGTCTGCCTTAGACCTTCTCTCCTAGTTCATGTTCAGACTGTCATCCAAGCACCAGACTTTCTCCCAGGTTCTCTGTATATCCTCAGTGGACCTGTCTTTAAGAAGTGCCTCATTTTGCCTTTCACAATGCCAGCATTTCATGAGACTTTACTAATCCTTGAGTTTAATCAAAATCTGAAGGATGGCTGTCTTCAGTCACTACTGGATCACCTGAAGCATATTCTAGATAGCCTGTTGACCCAGACATTGCTGGAAGGCTCTAAGTTGAGCAGTTCAGTGGAATTTGTCCTCCAACAAAATGGAAAAGATTATATGATTAGTGTGAAGTCTCATAATTTTGACCCAGATGGTGCCAAAGATCTGATTATTGGGTCTGTCACCACATCTACTATAAGCATTATACACAAAGAGCGATGTTTTGTGTTTGTGTCTATGAACTTGGACCTATTAGCCATGCTTGTCTGTGGTATCTCTGACTGGAGAATGTTGTGGACCTCTGATAACCGTTTCCTGAAGAATTTTGTCTCTGGGAAAATAGAACCCTTCAAAAGCTATTCCCTGTATCCTCCATGCTATGCACATGATATTAGTTTTTGGTTAGATGAGAAGAAAGGATTTGATGAACTAGAGTTTCACACTGTGGCCCGAGAAGTATCCCAAGACACTGTCATATCCATACAGTTTCTTAGTCGTTTTCAGCATCCAAAGACTGAACAGGTGAGCCTCTGCTATAGATTGATCTACCAGAGCTGTGACAAGGCCCTAACGAAGCAGCAAGTAGCATCAATGCAGTCCCAGTTTAGGAAAGAAATTCAACAACGACTACGTGTGATACCTCGGTAGTTTAGTATATTCATTTCTACAGTGTGATCCGTCGCAGGTGTGGTTGTGGATGAAAAAGACCAGTTTGCAACCAATAGTCCTTTCTGGACTGTTTTTTGGTTGTGTTTTACTGTGACTAGAGCCATTGTTTGGTTGACCCTAAAGGTACCTGTGACTCTGTCTCTTAAACTTACAGACTGTAATGTCATTGGTCTCAAGTAATGTCTACAAAAATAAACGAATAAAACAGCATTTTGTTCTTCAGTTCTATTGCTGAAGAGGCAGTAGAACTCAGGTGTCTCATCACATACATTTATGAATATATTTGCCACTCTGTCAATGCCTCTTCCCTTAACTCTATTGTATCATCGCACTCATTCAAATTACCAGAGTGGTTTCTGGAGTCAAACAGACCAATATTTATTAGTCTGAATAAGTTGGAAGCGCTCCATAATTAGTATTGGTATTATTATTATTATCATCTTATTATCATTTTTATTTTGTGGCTGGCTTGTTATTTAAAGTCATGGAATAATAAATGTCAAATTTAGGGTTGACACTTGGGTCCATCTGACTCTAAAGCCCATCTTCTTTCTGCCACTTTCAATTACCTTGCTTATCCTTCCCTAGTCTTTTTCAACAGTAACCTCTCAACCATGATGACCTCTAAACTTTGCTTCCCTATATTTTGGAACTTTTTGCTGTAAACATCTCTAAGGGACACTGGGAGCTAGGTTCGGCCCAGGACTCTGCAGAATGGGATACTCTAACGTGAATTAATGTATGCTCCTGTTGATTAACAGTTAGGGTCCACAGATGGGAATTATATTGTAAACTCTGTGAAGGAAATGACTTGTGTCTGATTCATTCTTGTGTTTGGAGAAAGCACATGGGATGGTAGAATGGAAGCAAAGAGACAAGTTAGGAGATTATTACAGTAATCAAGGAAGAGATGATGGTAATGTGGACCAGAGTGGTGAAAAGTTGTTTGATTGGGACTTGCTGATGAATTAAATGTATGTGCATGGGGGAGAGGTGTAGAGTGAAAGAGGCATCAGGCAGGGCCCCTAGATTTTTGAATTAAGCAACTGGGAACAGAGAAATATAAGTGACTGGGATGGAAGACTGGCATAGGAGTAAGTTTGGGGAGTAGGGTAGAGAATCAAGGGGTCTCATATATAACTTAACTGTCCACATAGACTACAAGCTAATTGAGGGCAGGTGATATGATTTATACCTTTCTCCCATCCTGAATATTTTCTGGATGAGATAGTATTTGAGTGGGGTCTCAAAACAAGGGCAGGGATCTGAAAGGAGAAGATTGTTAGGCAAGGAGGTGTGCATTCCAGGCAGAGCACCTATGTGAGCAGAGGCAGGAGTATTTGGGGCACTTTTCAGGGAAGTAGTCTAGTCAGTTGGAATGTAAAGCGTGTGGAGCGGAGTAGTGGGAGATAATATTGGAAAAACAGGTTGGGGCTATGAATGCTAGAATGAGTTAGTACTTTATTTGGCAGGCTATAGGAAAAAAATCTGGTGATTTTTTATTAACGAAGTGACACAAAAGAGTAGTGCTTTAGAAAATTAATTGGACAGTGTTGCACAGGATGAATTTGAGAGGGCAAAGCCCTGTAAGGATGCTGTTGTAGTAGTCCTAAGTAGAGACAGGGAAGGTCTGCATTAAAGTGAAAAGAAGAGGGGATTGAAAAGGAAGGGGTGGATGTATTAGATATGGCTAAGTTGGGATGTCTCAACTTGGTAATTAATGATTGCATGTGGGAATTGAGCGATATGGTCAACCTCCGTTTTCAATACTTGGGAATTTTTAGTATGAAATCATAACTTTCCAAGACACTGTCACATTCAGCATTCCCTCTATAAACTTGTTTCAATTACTGGTACAGAACTCCACATGGTTGGGTAGAGCTTTGTGATGGGAGGGGTGGTGGTGGTGGGGTGGTATAGTGTCAGGAACAGATGAAAGATTCCTGAGAGTCACAGATGTGATATCATCAACATGCTTGTATGAAAGTCCAAGTGAGCTACCTAGTGGGAAGAGTATGGGCTTTGTAGTAAAACACACCTGGGTTGGAATGTGGCTCCACCATTTACTAGCTATGCAACCTGGGGCCTCATTGCCTTACTGTTAAGGTTGCTGGGAGTATTAAATTTAAAAAGGATAAAATATGTAAAATGCCAACAACAATGCTGTTAACAGCAATGACAGTGACTGTTGCCCGGTTGAATTCGCTACACGGAATTTCTTCAGTCTCACTTTTTTTCTCATTCTATGATCTGCCATTACCCCTTTGTCTTTCTGAAGCAGTTAATTAGCTACAGGCTGTCATTCATTCACTCTCAGCAAAATACAGAGAGGGCAAGATGTCAAAGACAGCTTTAAGGGACCTTTCCTTTGATAGGCAGTAGTGTCATGCTCTTTAAGGGAATACCTCACTTTATTGAGTTGTTAATCACTTCATGCTTTCTTTTAAACAGGAGGGCTGAAGGACGGTTTTTGTTGACAAGTGCAGAATGTTAAAAAGTGAAGGAACAAAAGTTTGAGAGAGGGAGGAATGTCCAGCGTTAGAACCATGTGAAAGGGCTAGCTATGATGGCGAAAGTAACGTTTAAGGTCTCATTTTCTCTCTACTGGAAAATTTACCCCAATTGGCCCCGTAACACTGTAATTTAGTTTTTTCTGCGCATGTCAAGGTATTTTGTCCCTCGGCGGACACCGTTTGCCAGCCGCAGCTATGTCTTCTCGCTCGCCGACTTTGTAGGGTCCCGAATTCTTTTTTTCCACGCTAGTCATGGCGAGCCGAGGGTCCCGACAGCGCTTGAAGGGAAGCGGCGGCAGCGGCGGGGACACGGCCGTTTCGACTGCGGACAAGCTGCGGGACCTACTGTGCAGCCGAGAAGCGGGCGCCATAGAGCATCGGACAGAGTACGTGTGCTAGCGCGATGGGGGCGTGGCCGGCCGGGTGTCGCAGCTCGGGGCTGCCCCTGGGAGGGTCTCTGGGTGCGCCGCGCGGGGCGTCGCTCGGCCGGGCCTCGACGCTGGGAGGCCACGGGTTACTCTTCAGCCAGGTCGTTTTTGCCTTTCCTGAGCAGGTCAACGTTCGCTCCTTGCCCCGTCTTAGATCGCTCCACCTTGGGTCTCTTCTCTAGTATAGAAACCTTGGAGAGTCAGTCTGTGATGCTTCTGGCCCAGGTCCAGAGTGGGTTGGCTTCCTGGGGTTTGAGTTAGCAGGGCCCCTGTCGAAGACATTGGCAAGACCGAAGACCGTACCTTTTACGACTGTTTCTCACTGCTTCCCTCATTCCCCGTAAAGTCCTGACCCTTTACTCTTCTATCGCCAAGGTCCGTGTTCCCCCGCCCAGCACGTGCAGCCAGCTTTCCCCAAGTCCGGGGTCCTGCAGGTTACATGGAAGGAGCTGTCAGCTTACGGAATTGGAGGTTATACCTTGCACATATTAGGCTTCTGTATATTTGAACTTGAGGGCAGTGGTAATTCAGTGGTAGAATTCTAGCCTTCAGTGCAGGAGACCGGTTGGATTCCCAACTACTGCAACTAAAGTGCAGCCACCACCCATCTGTCACTGGTGGTTTGCGGCTTGCTATGACGCTGCTCAGTGACGCTTCCAGACTAAGGCAGACTAGGAAGAAAGGTCTGGCGATCTATTTCCAAAAAATCAGCCAAGGGAAACCGTATGGTGAAAACTCTTTGGATCACGACTGTCCTATCCTGGTGTGCATGGGGTTGCCATGAGTGGGAGGTTGGACTTGAGGGCAGCTAACAAAAACATATATTTGAACAAATAGGTGAATGAAGAAAACCATGGAGAGTAAAGATCTTGTTAAGAAAGAAAATGAGAGCTTTTTTGCTTTCAAATAAGTGATTAATTGGCTTGGGACAAACGAGTGTCATAGGTGCAGCAAGCTAAAGTGTATGAATTAATTTACAACTTAAAAGCAGGAAGTGGACAGGGTTTTTAAAGACTTCTTTGTTCCTTCTACTCAGAACAACTAACGTTCACCTTTTTAGGAGAATAATGTTATTGCTTTGATGTCCCTTGCCTTTCTTGCTAGTTTTAGTCCTGGTTAGCAGGTCCTTCCTGACTTTTGTTTTTTTTGCTTCGGAGCAGGCTATCTGGGAACAAAGCAGGACAAGTCTGGGCACCCGAAGGATCTACTGCCTTCAAGTGTCTGCTCTCAGCAAGGTTATGTGCTGCTCTCCTGAGCAACATCTCGGACTGTGATGAAACATTCAACTACTGGGAACCAGTAGGTGATTTCTTTAAACTTTCCTTTTTTTTTCCTTGATTTGGCTGCTTGGGACCTTGTTACCAATCAAAATACAAGTGTGACTACTAGTAAAATGACTTTATTTTCACTGTTGTATTCTAAACTGATGATTTGTCAACTATTGAAGACCGTAGGTAGTTTGGTTGGTTTACTTAAATGTGTATTTTGTAGTTTTTTTTTTAAACCTTTTTTTTTTAATCAAAATAATACTTGGAGATAGTTTTTTAAGTTAATAACTACTACAAAACTGAAAAGAAAAACAGTAGCTCTCTGCTTCACTTCTCCTCATGTCCAAATCCCACAGAGTGGGATTCTTTTAACTCTTTTACCTTGTTATTCTGATATTTGCCTGAATAAAGAGTGTTGCTAAATAACATGCTTATACTGCTATTTCTTGATGTATACATTTTAGTCATTATCTGTTGACTTCCTACTATAGAAAATTCAGAGGTAAACTTTTTTGATCATATTTTATGATCAGTTAGTATAGTGTAGTTAGTATAAAAAATATAAGATTTAGAGTTTCTTTATTTTGGCTAATGACTGTTTTTAAAAACTTAAGTAGAGGATAAGATTCAAGCTTTCATTGCTGACCAAACAACAATCTTGTAGAATTTATAATGTCCTAATATCTTTCAATACTGTATTGGGTAATTTTGATTCTTTTCTTATCCCTTAGCTGCAAATCTTGCTAAGAATTTCAGCATTTTTGTGCACCTTTGTCTCTCTGTAATATTTCTATTTAGAAACTCCACCTGCATTCTCCTAACAAGAATTTCTGGCCAATGTAACCCCAAATCCATCTGTTTTGCACTTTTAGACGCACTACCTCATCTATGGGAAGGGATTCCAGACTTGGGAATATTCCCCAGTTTATGCCATTCGCTCCTATGCTTACCTGTTGCTTCATGCCTGGCCAGCTGCATTTCATGCAAGAATTCTACAAACTAATAAGGTAAGGGCAGGCCAACGTGGAAGCGGTCACAATTGATCAGGAGGTAAGTCTCTGGAATAGTTTTGAGAAGAGGACAAACTGGATTGGTAGTTAGGAGGGGACTTTTTTTGAAGTAGTCATTTATTCATTCATCGCTCAACAAGTATTAATGAGGCAACTTTCATTTGCCAGACACTGTGTTAAGTGTTGTGGATGTAACATTGAGTAAGTGTCTGCTCTCATGGAACTTACACTTTAATGAAGAAGATGAATATTGAACAAGTACTTACAAATGTGATGGTTCTTATGGAAGAAAAATAGAACGTGCAGTGGTGTAGCATATTAGGAGGACCTAATTTAAGCAGACTGCTGAAGGATAATCAGGAGTTAACTAGGCCCTAACCTGATTAGTTTGAAGAAGTTTGACTCTGATGTGTCTTGGCGGGGATTTCTTTGGGTTTATCCTGTTGGGAGTTTGCTCACCTTCTTGTATGTATAGGCTTATGTGTTCCCAAATTTGGGACATTTTCAGCTATTATTTTTTCAAGTACTTTTTTAGCCCTGCCTTCCTTCTTTCCTTCTGAGACTCTGATGACACAAATGCTAAATCATTATAGTCCTACAGGTCCCTGAGGCATTCTTTTTTTTTTTTCCAGTCTGTTTTCTCTCTTCTTGTTCAGATGGAATAATTTCTGTTGTTCTATGTTCCATTTCACTGATTCTTTCCTCTGTCCACTCCATTCTGTTGTTGAGCCCATCCAGTGAGTTTTTTATTTGGTTATTGTATTTTTTCAGTTCTAAAATTCCCATTTGGTTCTTTATGTCTTTCGTTTTTTTTGCCAGGACTTTCTATTTCTTTACTAAGACTCTCTATTTTTATTTGTTTCCAGCATGTTCTTAATTGTTTGCTGAAACAGTTTTAAGATGACTGCTTTAAAATTTTGCCAGCTAAATTCTAACATTTCTGTCATCTCAGTGTTGGCAGCTATTGATTGTCTTCTTTTATTCAGTTTTAGATCTTTCTGGATTTTGATATAATGAGTGATTTTCAATTGAAACCTGGGCATTTTGGGAATTATGTTATGGGACTCTGCATCTTATTTACGGGCCAAGCACGCTTCTGTACCACTCTGCTCCTCCAGATCTGATTTAAACCTTTTGTTTAAATCAGGAGCAGGGCGGGGCACCAACTTGTTACTGCCAGATGGGAGTAGAAGTCCAGGTTCCCCACTAGTCCTGTTGACACCCAAGGGGGAGTGACTGCTTGTTACTGCTGGGTAAGGACAGGCGTTCCAGTTCCCCCCTCCCCCCCGAGGCCTCCACTGACACCACAGGAGTGGAGTGTTGCCTTTCTACACTGGGAAATTATGAGAAGCGTAGCTCTGCTAGGTCTCCTCTGACACCATCGCAGTGGGGAGAGAC